ACAGCCCAAAAGTTGGCCACGAGGCTAACGAGCAACCTTGATGGCGAGCTAAAGAATGGAGTATATTTTTACTGAGCTGCTCTAGAAAATCATTAATTCCACAACGACAAGGTAATTCCAGTCCCCAAGGAGCGCCGGCATTAACCTTCGTACTCTCATTCCAAACTTATAATTAAGGATATGATTTTCACTTTCTTTTTCCTTCGAGTAATTCATTTGAAGCAGTAAATGGCGCTCTCTTAAACACGAAATGAGGTTTTGATCATGATGACAATATTTTTTCCAGCGGAATTGACTTTTAGCACGGCAGGTAATATTTTCACTCTATTTACCTGTCTGTCTCTTTCTCCGTCCGTTTGTTTGTCTCCCCCCCCTCCTCTCTCTCTCTCTGTCTCTCTCTCAAACATTTTTTTTTTCAACATTCCTGCACACTGAATCAAACTGTCACAATTTCCCGCCGGCGCGAGGATCAAATAATGCCAGCCGTACCGCTCATTTCATCACACTAATTCCATTCCCCAAGCAAAACTGCGCCGACATCCATCAAGTCTCAACCCCGGGATTTCGAGGATGTAAGCAATGATGGGCCTCATACTGCTGAATATGCAAGGCGAACATACCGGCCCCAGTTGCCTTTATTTCGCACTGTCAACATTCCGGAGATCATCAGCGGAGAACAAATGCTCACACAAAGCTGCGTAAATATTTATCTAAGACAGCAAGATGCATATTCGCGCAATTCCAAATGCACGTGAATGAAGAGTTTGTAGTGACACGTTTGCCGGAAACGTTTGCTGTGTTCAGCGCGCAAAGGCTTCAACACTTTTGTGATACCGCATTTAGATCATGAATCCGAAAATAGACATAGCGAATGGCAAGTTCAACCAGTGATATATAAGCAAAAGAAGAATATGATAAACACTATAAATCTATCATAACTACAAGCCATGTTTTTTTTTCTTATTTATAATGAATATTTCATTTCAGCAGCCAAGCGTCTACTGGACAACAGCCCAATGTTTTGCAACGACAACACTGTTGCTGTTTTGGTTTACAACATGATACTGTCGGCCTGACCAGAGGAATGAGAATGTCTGGGATGGGAATATAATGAGAATGAGTATTTGTTTGTTTGTTTATTTTCGTGTATGTATGAATGAATGAATGAGTGAGCGGGTAAATGAGTAAGTCTGAGTGTGTGTTTGTATGTGTATGCGTATGTATGAGTGAGTGAAGTGTGAGCGTATATCAGAGTATACATTGAGCTTGTGCCTGTGCGTGCACATGTGCGTAAATTTATGAGTGTTTACCAACATTAAATAAAATGCGTGGCCTGTTAAGCACACACACACAGAAGCAGGACTTGAGTGCCCGGGCGCAGACAAAGACCACGTCACAGAGCACACAGCCCCGCGCCCTACAAAGCGAGCCGTAAGCCCTCATCGTCGTCAATGATCAATTAAGATAAAAGCCGCCAAGGACCCAAGTGCCATTTAAAGAAGAGGTGCACGTTTTTCTGGCTAACCCGCCGCGGCGCAGGAACGAGGCCTCTCCCTCCCGGCGTCTTGGGGGACGTCCTTCAGCGCCTCGGCGAGGGGATGCTTCCTGGAACGCCGGATTCCACTCAGGAAATACACACGAAAGTGGCTGGACAGCAAAAAGGAGTTACTTCTAATGTATGCGACAACCGAGCCTAGAGATTAGTATATCTTGAGAACAGGATATAGAAATCTTGTTCCAGTTTAATGATTCGAACAACATATGAATAATTTCTAAGAAGATAATGTTATGTAAAACTAAATCTATATTCTCCTGAACGGTTACCAATAGTTGCAATATTGTTGTTGATCATTAGGGCGACGACAATGACTCGAGCCACGGAAACAGCGATGATAGGTCTGAAGCAACCATGAGGTAAACCGATGCGCTAATGAGGGGAAATGGTTTCAAAGAAATGTAAGAAAAAAAGGGGGGGGCGACCGCAGAGTAGCGCAAAGAAAGTTGGAAATATGACGTAGATAATCACGAAGAACAAAAGAAAAAAGAAGGTAGAAAAGTCGGCCAAAGCAAAAGAAAAAAGAATGAGGAGCGAAGGTAACCGGGCAGTTATGGAAATGATCATATTAGTAAATTCCATCGGGGATGTTAAGTGAAACGAGGCCCCGCTGCGAGCGGCCTTCCCTCCATTTTCTCTCTCGTTCCCCGTTCCGGCATCAAAAATTAATAATACATGTGCAAATAGCCAGTCGCGTCTCTTGACAAAGTAAAGCCCCAAAACGCGAAGAAAAATATTACAGATAAAACGGTCAGTAAAATACAAGATAGAAAAAAATACATTATTCATTCAATTTCCAATCAGCAATTCACTGTAAGTCCGGAACAAAGCACCATCAATGAAAAATAAACAGGCAACGCTCGGCATAAAAATCATTACGGTCACAAACGCTTTAGTAGAGAATTCACAAAATAAATTGCAAAAGAACTTACGATGCCGACGTACCTGGACCAGCAAGGCTTACCTGCAAAAAGTAAACAATTTGCATCAGATTATAAGTGTACATGCTGAAATACTTGGATATATGTTTCTACTGCACATTGCTATGAATGAGCACAAATTTAGCTATGAATGAGGAAAACTGCAGATCTGTGAATGATGAAAATTGCAAATCCATGTATGAGGAAAAGTAAAAATCCTCCATGTAGAAAACAGATGAGGTGTCAATAAAGAGATGACAGAGGATAGGTAACTGATTCCGTCAGGCAACCTCTCCCTTTCCTTCCCCCAACCCCTAATCCCCAACCCAACGGCGTCCCCTGCCCCAAACAACGATCCCCCAAAAGAAAACGATACAAACAGAGGAAGGGATTCTACTCCGTTATTAACTTCATTCTCGAGAATCACATTACGAGAGCAGGGCGAGGATGGCCCTGGGGACGCCATCAAGTCGGGGGAGGGGGAGGGGGAGGGGGAGGGGGGAGGGGGGGAGGGAAGGAGGAGGGGGAAGAGAGAGGCGAAGGGGAAAGGACGATACGAAGGAGAGGGGAAGGGGAAATGGAAAGGAAAGGGGAAGGGGAAGGGACGGGAGGGGATCAGACCTCACATCCCCTGGACGTTTGATTACTGGAAGCCTCGCCTCCCCTCTCCCCTCACTGCCCGCCCTGGCTCCTCTATCGGAATTAAAAGAAGAAAAATCATTGGGCCTCCATGAAGAATCTTCCTTAGGCTGTAAGAGTAGGGAAACCAATGAATCATTTGCCGAATAATCTAAAACTAGAACGTCTAAGAAAAGGAACTCCTAAATTACAGCTTTGTCGATAACATTGCTATAAATAACTTCATGCTTATAATACTTGCTCTCCTACGGTACTTCTACAATGCTACAGCTGCTCCTATAGCTTATAATAACAATAACAATAATAATAAAGGCGAGTGTTGTCTGCACTACCATAAGGCATTTTATTGGCCCTTTGTTTGTTTATATCCTTCACTCAAAATCTCCTTTGTGGCTTGCTTGGCCATCCCCTTCAGCAGCGGCCATGTTTCGCCGATGAGCAATAGATAATGGATAACTTCTCTTCAAATAATGGCAAGCATTCGCAACACAAATTAAAATATATACACTGACAAAACTCGCCCACACTCACACCTACACACCCACACAAATATGAAAAACCTCGAGTCGAGGGCCAAGAAAAGCAGAAATAAAGCAACGACCCTAAGCCCGGACGGACATAAAAATAAAAGCCCCGACAGCCCGCCTCCGGCCAAAAGGTCGCAGCTGCAGCGGAGAACCAAAAATTTGCAAATAACAAAATCAATCCGAACCGCCGTCGCGCTTGTCCTCCGTCCGGCCGAACGGCTATATTTCATATATAATCTAACGGTTCCGAATACAACGCCATCCATTAATGAAATCGTCAGCTTGGAGCATGAATAAAATTTAATTGAATGGGAGCACGAGCCCAATAGGCTTTCAGAGGAAGTAGCCCTAAGGGGTCTGCCCCGGGGCGGCGGTCGAGAATCCAGCGCAGGGCGTCGAGGATCTCTCAAACATATCCCTCACAAATTAATCCGGAGCCGACCACGTTAATCGTAAATAATGACGCAGACACTAAAATTGACGTCTTAGCTCTAAGCCTACATCTGTAATCATACTAATTTCACTTACAATAATTATCAGGTAACGGTGTTTGTTCTAATAATATCAGCAATAAAAGCGGTAAAATATTATTGCCAACGGATACAGCTGTTGGAGGAAATATGATTCCGCTTCGAGGCGGTGACATGAATATCCATTAATGCATCGGTTTATTAAATAAACTAGTGTTCGCACCGGGTTAATTTTTGGCATGTGGCTGTTATTATAATGGCGACGATACAAAAAAATGACGTCTAATAATGACGAAAATACCAACACTGATGCTGATACTACTAACTGTTATAAAACAAATTTACTCATAGTATGTATTGTTTTTATCAAGCTAAAACTAATAACGCTAGACCTCGCTATACCTTCATCCTAGCATGGGATTTTTTGCTGCGCTAATGAAAAAATAGTTTGATGACATGCTGAATGAAATAAGGGAAAACACGCGAATAGGACGACTACCGGAGTAAAACCCTTTTCGACACACCAAATAAATTTAGTTGGAAATCCCTTAACCCGTGTAGACCGCAGCAAGACATCAGCCGCGATGAGGGTTTAATTCGGACTTTCAGACTTCCAGCGCCAGATATTTTACCTGATTAACATGCGGAAGAAGAGGGGAGTGAGAGGAGTCCCTCGGAACCTTAAAGGTGGCCGAAGGGGACCGAGGTGTCGGCACCTACAAAGCTGCCCCCTACCCACCGCACCCTTCGCCGCTCCAGTTAGGGTGAAGAGTTGGCTCTCCCGTCACTCCAGCGATCACCCTACGTGGTCTCCACGGCTCTTGGGGCCACACTTGGTTCCTCATCACAGTCACTTCAGAGTCCTGTCTGCCTGTTTATTCATTCCTTC